TTCATGTCTGTCATATTTGTATTTAAACGACCGCAAAAAAATATTGCTTTCACGTCGTCGTCGTCGTCCGAAGACATTTGGTTTCCGGACAATAACTTTAAGTGTATGGATCTCTATGAAATTTAAACAAAAGGTTCAATACCACATAAGGAAGGTTGGGATTGTTTTCGGGGATGATGGTCCAACCCGTTTAGGAATTAGGGGCCAAAAAGGGGCCCAAAACAAGCATTTTTCTAGTTTCAGGACAATAACTTTGTGTATAAGTATTTTGATTGTTCTGAAATTGTACCACAAGGTTCAATACCACAAGTAGAAGGTTGGGATTCATTTTTGGGGTAATTGCCCAAACCGTTCAGGAATTAGGGGCCAACGAGGGTCTAAAACAAGCATTTTTCTAGTTTTCATACAATAACTTGTGTTTAAGTGTATGGATGTCTCTTAAATCGTACCACATTTTACAAAAAGAAAATTTCGTCAATTGTTATTTTTTTTGGAGGGGGGCATTTTTTTTCCTCAAGATTTAAGAAATTAGAAAGAAAATTTCTTCATATATATTACTTTTTTTTTTGGGAAAGGGAGGGGGGGGGGGGGGTCATTTTTTTTTCCTCAAGATTTAAGAAATTGTCAATTTTCCAAAGAAAAATTGGGGGTCACAATTTATTTTGCTTATTCTTTGTATATAGTCTGAAAACAGATTTACTAAGTATTGAGCAACAGCACAGTGTATTGTACAACAACAAGAAATCTTCAATTGAATATAAATTTAAATCATATAACTAATTTCAAGTTCTTCGACTACATTTATTCTGTGTCAGAAACCTATTATGTGTCAAATATTTAATTACAATCCATATTCAGACTTGTATCAAGCTTGAATAATGTGTCCATTTTTGCCCCAACTGTTCAGGATTGAACCTCTGTGGTCGTATCCAGCTGCGCTCGGCAAAGCAGTTTATTCGTAATTTGTATTGTTATAAATTATGCCGTTAGTTTTCTCGTTTTAAATTGTTTCACATTTTTCATGTCGGGGCCTTTAAAAGTTGACTATATGGTATGGGTGTTTTTTCATTGTTGAAGGTCATACGGTGACCCTTAATTGCTTATATCCACTTTATTTGAACTCTAGTGGATAGTTGTCTCATTGGCAATCATCACGCCACCTCTCTTTATTTCTATATTTGGTGTTTTGTTTCTTTTAAATTATCGGTTTTGTTACGGAAAAAGATCAAAGCAAGACTTGTCAATTGTCTTGATCATAGAGGTCATATTTTATTGTGAACTATATGACCGATATTATTTTATTTGACAAACGATCATGCAAAATTCACGTTCAGATATTGGTCAATTAAGACTTTGAACTCACAAGATGTATTCTTTCATATAATAAAAGAATAGATAAATGACAGTATTAATTAAAAGATTGATTGTTTGTGTTTTACACACATTTAGCTCGAACAGGCTAAAAAATCAGGGCCATGAAATGACGAAGGGTGATTGGTCGGACATAAAGGGATGAGGCGAATTTTGACTGCTACTAGAAATATTCGAAGAGAATTGGGTAGGGTCGTTAAATTTAACCTCAGCATAGACTATCAGAGAGCTTAAGGCTACTCTTCGTGCTTGTGAATTTAATATCTGGACAACCATGGACGATCTTTACGCCCGACGGATCCGAGTGTCGTAACCATCAATCGGAAAAGGTATAATTTCTATACATAGGCTACCCTTTGTCTCTCGGGGTTAATAAATAATAAAAATTAGTATAATATATGTAGTATATAAACGAAAGTTCTGTCACAAATGATGAAACTTCATGAACTACATGCATTTTCAATATTAATTATCACAATTGATATACAAATGATATATGGGATGCATATTATTGAAACAACAAAGGTAACGGTCAGATAATACAAATCTATTCCGCTGACGACTATCACTCCTTTATGAGGAAACATCTGATTGGGGCCGAAGTTGTGTTCGATATAACAACATATGATCCGGCAAACAAGCAATCATGGCAAGAACATGTATATACAGAACAACTGAAGCAATTCGTAACAGAAACGAACCAAACCTTTGATGTCAAATAAAGCTGAGTTGTAGTTTTGAAGGGAATACTAATGCTACTCAATGGGTTCACCCATCTCAAGTAAACAGTCGCGGGTCCAGAAAATAAAGGGGATGTTTTATGGCTTCCATCCGAAAAATGGGGGGGGGGGGGGGGGGGGGGGAGGTTTCAATCTAATTTTCGGCGCTTTTTAAGTGATTTTAAAAATCCGAAAAAGTGGTTTCTAGCCTCCTGGTCTATCTTTGGATCCACCAATAACACCACTAATACGCCGGATGATTACTTGTTCTTTCTGGTTTAGGCGGGTTCAGTGCAGAACTTTGACCGTTGACCGGATTCATATTAAATTTGCTTTATCAGTCTTGGTGTTGACGACATGAAATGACCGCCATGTTTTGTTTAATTTATAGATTATTTTGTGAAAACGACCGGTAAATGACATGAAATTATCCAGAAAGCCAATTTATAACACTCGAGGCTAAATATTTTCCAATTCGGCTCTCTTGGGAAGTTGACTGAACTTTGGTTGCTCAATACGATTATATGTAGGACAAAACATACCACAGGCAGTCTTCATTGACAATTGTCAAAAGAATTGTTATTTAGAGTAATCCTGTATGGATTTTAAAATAAGTACTACAAATTTAAAATCTTGGGTTACTGAACTAGCTTGTGGAGTTGATACACAGCGGTAGCGGTTGACCAGGGATTATTCAGTATCCATACATATTTTTGGGGAACCTTCGTAGCTGGGAACAGTATATCAATATATATGTTCCTGCTTGTAGTCATTCGAAATTTCAACAGTTTTTAGCCTTACCTTATATATGTAAAATATTATACACTTACTTCGAAAACTGAAAATAATTATTTGCTAAAAAAACAACCGACTAAATGAGAGAGTAAAATTAAAAAAATAACAAGGAAATCGGGCTTGCATTTTCTTAAGAACTGTCTTGTCTATTTAGTGTTGTAAAAAATATCTCCGATGATCGAATACCAACCTTTGTAAGCTGATGCTAATCGTTGATGTTAACGATTGAACGAACATCTTCGAAGTGAGAAAAGGAGAGTACTCAGTCAAATCGTTTATACATCATTTGAGCCGCAGTCCACTTAACTATATTAAACCGTTCCTTTCGTACAAAGACAAAAATACTCAGTCAAATTTGCTACCGGTTGATATAGATGTACATTGTACCTGAATTTGATGTATGTGCACTTGTTGTCAAAACGAAATATGATATGCATCAAATTCAAAGGCTGCATTCGATTTTACGGTTTGCTGGAAAAGGCTGGTTCATAAACCGATTTGTGTACTGCATGGAGTTCACTGCCAGGTCTTTGGACGAAAGCTTTATGCTGACTGGACTGCTATTGTAATAAATCATGTAGTACAAGGCTAAGATTTGGCGATTGTGTATGAACTTGTATTCTGAACTTTTTTGTCTGTTGTCTTAGTGTCAATCTTTATCTGTCGATCTTCATAATAAAGCGCTGCCAATTAAACGTCAACCTTGACGTGTATAATACCTTCTTTACCTGTGTCTCATAGATCAATTTACATGTGATTATTTACAGGTACAAGGGAATAACCTAACAATAAAAAAATGATCATGCCGAAGGAGCGTGATCAGCAGAAGTAAGAATATATTGAAAATTATATTGACATATAACTTTAGCTTTAAATATCAATGGAACAATTGGCTAGCCGTCAGATTTAGTTGTAATAAGCTACTTTTAATAATTCGACGACGTTTAATGACCGATCTATACAACCAGCAGTTTATTGTCCTGTTATTGTGTAATCACCTGATCAGTGAGTGTTCTATAAATAAGACACACTCAAACGGCTAGATGAAAATAAATGCTTACACATACAAAATGACTTATTCCCATTAAGGAAGTTATTCCAGAAATATCATTTTAATAGAAATTAAGTGTGTGCTGTGACATAATATAATAGTATAATCATGATAATAGTAGGTAGGTGTGGGACATTTTTTTCTCAAAAATTAACTCGCAAGGACATTCCACTTAGTCAAATCAGAGACATATATACACATATGTCTCTGGTCAAATCAGAGATGTATAATTTAATTGTATTTAAAAATCTCAAGTCAACTATACCAACTGAAATCTTTGTACTGAGAAACTTGAATTATTTTAGATCATAAGATATCACATGAAGTTAAAATTGAAATAAAATTTCTTTACTAGACCAACTTTTGAACTTTTATTGAATTTGATTTTTTTTATGCCCCCGCCATAGCGGAGGGGGGCATTAGGTTTTACCCTTGTACGTCCTTCCATACGTCCCAAAGTTGGTTTCTGTTCTCTAACTTTAGTTTGCCTCAACCAAATGTTATAAAACTTATACACAATGCTTATTACTACAAAACACAGATCAAGTTTGAATTTTGATGGCGTCACTTAAACGTTCTAGAGTTATGCCCCTTTACAAATGGAAACATTGCTGAATTTTTCGTTTCTGTTCTTCAACTTAAGTTTGCCTCAACCAAATATTATGAAACTTATACACAATACTTATTACCACAAAACTCAGATCAAGTACAAATTTGGGTAGTGTCACTTGTTTCGTTCTTCAGTTATGTCCCTTTATAACTTTATATGATATGAAGCGGGGGCATCATCTGTGTCCCATGGACACATTCCCCATTTATTTAAATCTGATTTTGCAAAATATTACAGACGAGTATTTTGTTTTTGGTTAAAACTCATTAAGAACCAAATGATACTATTTTCATATTTATTTCTTGGGGTAGAGAGTGGTTTACACTTTAATCTACAGTGTATGCTTAATTATAACATTAGTAATTTTTACTACCTTTTCAGCAGTTACAGTAGAATAAGACAATGTAAGATAGATATGTGTAGTATAGTTTTCTTTTTTTTTTTACAATTTCAGGGTATACCATGTAATTTGGAAAAGGTAAAAGGGCTCTATGACCCTTTCTGTCAATATGGGTGGATCTAAATTTGATGATATAAGTGAAAAAGATGTTGAGATTGAACCAGAACCAGAGCCAAGGAATTCAAGGTGTCCGGATGGAGGATGGGGCTGGGTCATTGTCCTGGCCGCCTTTTGTGCCAATGTCGTCGTGGATGGCGTCTGTTTTACAGCAGGAATGTACCATGAAGAATGGATGAGTTTCTTCAATGTCCATCATGTTTCAGTGTCATGGGTGACATCTCTGCTGGTTGGATGCTACTTACTGGCTGGTAAGAAATTATTCATGATAATTTAAATAACCAGTGTAACTATCTTACAACAGTTTACTAAATGGCTCATTTCTATGGCAATAACATTATTACATTTATGTTAGACACATCCTGACATTTATGTTAGACACATCATGACATTTATTTTTTCCTATATGAATGGAAGAAAAACTGAATTTTACTAAGGTTTATATTAATTTATGAAAACTACTAGTTCAAATGATTATGATATAGAAAGACCAAGTGAGGTTTCCAAGCCGAAATCGAAAATAACCTACCACTACATCATAATTACTTAGACTAGAACATTACCTTACATGTAAGGTAACAGTAAGAAATACAATGATGAAAAATAATGATACATACAGATTTGTTTTTGTAGGTCCAGTAGCTGGTGTTCTAGCCAACAGATTTGGTTGTCGGAAGGTTGTCATGGGAGGGACATTGATCTCAGTGATTGGTCTGTTGGTCAGTACTGTGTCACCAAATGTTGAAGTACTTATCATTACATTTGGTATCATTACAGGTAAAATATATATCAGATATTTATTTTCAAATACCAGCAAATTTTAACCTTCCTATCAAAATTTTTTAAAAAGTATTCAAAAACATACCAGAAAATACCAGATTCAAGATCTGTCCCTGGCAGACTTTTGATAAAAGAAAACTTTGTTCTTTTCTGCAATGAAATTATCGTCGTCTGTCTGAAATATTTGCCACTGGATGTAACAACCAACTATCGTCATCAACTATCTTGAGTAGAGACTGAGAGTTACTTTTAATACTGACATTTTACATTACAATTAATATAAAATGTTTACTGTATTAGATAATTGTGGGTAGTAATATAATTCTGGTATTTGTCAATTTAGTATTTATCAATTTATTGACCAATTTATAATATACCATTTTAGGTATTGGTTTTGGATTGATCTATTTACCATCCATAGTCATTATTGGTTATTGGTTCGAGAAGAAGAGAGCTTTTGCCACAGGAATGGCACTATGTGGCTCTGGCATTGGCACATTATTGTTCAGTAGTTTCAATAAGTATATATTTGAAGAGTATGACATAAAAAATGGCACAGTTATATTAGCTGGTGTTGTTCTACAGTGTGCAATCTGTGGTGCTTGTTATAGACCTTTATATAAGGCTAAAAGAACTCCGAGAATGAAGAGGGGAATTGTCCAACAAGGACTCATTATGAAAGCTTTGATTGCAGAGAAAGAACGACAAAGAACTATTTCAAATGGATCTCTTGACAATTGCATAATTACTAGGGATAATCGTTTGATCAAGATTGACAAAATTGAAATAGATAAAATGAACAAAAGTAATTCGTATATAAACAGACTGAAAGAACACTTAGGATTCAGTTCTCGTTCACTTAACAAAATAATCCCTGGTATTGTACGAGATAAGTTCATATTTGACTCGAAACCTCAGACTCCAGTACAGGAGAAAAAGGAATTCCCACGAAGGAAAAGGGATTATGAACGCAGAAGAGACAGTGGATGTGGGAGTTTATGTGACTCGCCTCAATCAGGAAATAACCTACCTCAGGAAGACCCATGGGAAAAATTATGTAGAGACGACTCTGTCAAATTCCCTAATGAAAAAGACATTAAGGAAAATGGGAGTTTGCTAGTTCCAGTTAAAAGAAATGGAAGTTTTGGACCTCAGGATAGTTTCCGTCCCTTGGATTCTAATCATTTGACTCCGCCAACAACAATCATTGGTACTAGCCTTATGTCAGCAATGACAGCGTCTGAGTATGATGCTAGTGTTCGGACACTGATGATGGAGTATGAACACCCCCTGCCTGAATGGATAAGGAGCATTTCACATATGTTGGACTTGAGTCTGTTAAAAGATAAAACCTTTATCCTGTACGCAAGTGCCAGCTTCTTGAACATGCTGGGTAAGTATTTTATATATGGAAATTTATCATAATGCAGAGTAACAGCTTGTAGTGTGACATAGAAATTCTTTCAACATGTGTCCAGATTGTGTAATTATTCAATGTAAGATTAGTACACAATAATGTTTCTTCTGACATGTGTAATTCTTATGTGAAAGATTAGTATACAACCATGTTTCTTCCAAGGTGTAATTATTCAGTGAAAGATTAGTACACAAAAATATTTCTTCCCACGTGTAATTATTTAATGTAAGATTAGTACACAACAATATTTCTTCAGCGTGTAATTATTCAATAAGATTGGTACACAACACTTTCTTCAGAGGACAAAATCTTTGTAATCTAGGTACTGACAATTCTTGGATGATCTTCCAAGTTGTATCCAGTAGAAACAAATAATTACTACATGCACTTCATGTTCTTGATGAAAGCATGATGTATGATGTATTTTTGTAAGTTTTATTTTTGTATTGTTTATACAACAGTAACATGATTATGTGTCCTTGTTCTGGTTAATGTTTTTAGTTCAGGAGAACTCGTGTTATTAGAAGATATATTAGTATATATGTATATTTTTCTTATTCTTTTTCAGGTTTCTTTATACCTTTCTTCTTCTTGCAAGATTTAATAAGATCCTTAAATTCAACGGACCACAAAACTTCGGTTCCGATTGTGTTCTCAGTGATTGGTCTTTCAAATGCCATTGGTAGGGTACTTGCTGGATGGATAGCAGATCGACCTTGGGCGAATGTGGTGTTTTTGAATAATGCTTCCTTGGTGCTCGCTGGAGTTATGACAATAATTTGGCCATTTTGTACAACTGTAACTCATAAATATAGAAAAACTAAATTGAATTCTATAAATAAACCTTCATGTATATTTTATGGAGTCATTTTCACACCTGAATGGTAAATTTGTACATTTAAAGTCCATTTCATCACTATATTGATTTTTTTTCTTCATAATACATATAAAGGATCATTTGTTATTTCAGGTTGGATCATTGATTCCACGGGAAGTGTGAATGCTGTTTATTATATGGCTGGGGCATGCTTGGCCATGGCTGGAGTGCTGGGTTGTCCACTTAGAAAGAAGAAGGACAACAATGATGTTGAGATCCAAAACAGTTGTTACACAAGCCAACATTTGGACATTGAAACGGTCAAGATTGAAACAAAAATGTAACTTGACATTTATTTTCGGCAGGGAAACGTTTCACTTGGTGCTGCTGGAGTTTGTCTGACATGGAATGAATCTGATGAACTGGTTCTCTGTCTGACATTGAATGAAACTGATGAACTGGTTCTCTGCGTTCAGTCTCAAAACATTTAATTGACTACATTTCAGACTTGGAAATAATACATTTGTTACATCATATTTAAATGCCTTTGTGTTATGTGTTAAGGCTTTTGTTGTAAGGCTTTGTTATGTAGAAAAATTGTTTGTTTATGATAATATTAAATATTGTTGCAGTTGGAAGAATAAGGTTTGAACCAGAGATTAAGGTTAAATGTTTTTCTTATATTCTGATATCCAAGGGCTACTTACTTTATTTAATACGATGATGTAAGAACATTGTCATAAAATAATTAACACAGGTTTATTTACACATCAGCAATTTCCTCGATTAGTGTTCAAAATTTAATAAACTTGGATATCAGAAATACAAAGGAATAAACAATGACGAATGCTTATTTGGTATGACTTTTTGGTACAATGTATTTGGTATGACTTTTTGGTACAATGTATTTGGTATGACTTTTTGGTACAATGTATTTGATTGAAGGTTAAAAAATGAATGACATTTATTTTGTATTAAAGAAATTGTTAAAACAACTGTGGAAAAGTTACAATATGAAATGTACAGAGTTAATGAGAGACGGAATGGGAATGTGTAAAGTGATTAATTTGTTGACATTTCTTCATTTAATCTGAAAAATGCTTATATGTTGTCTGTATGTTGTTTAGCTTAGGTATTTTCATTACTTATTCTAACATATAAACAAAGATTTCATGTTGTATAGAGATGATTTACTATCTAATGCATTTTTATAAAGACAAAATAAAGCTAAAGAATGATTTTGTTTCCTGAATTTTGAAAACTTTGTGGAATCATGTGAAAAGATTATTGTTAAGGTTTGAGGAAATTTTGAATTAATTTGAAGTTTTATTTGTTGATTAATATAATTTTTATTGATAAATTTGTTGCACATTTTTTATAATGATCAGGAATCATATTTATAAAAATTTTAAAAACTTCAACAAAAAATAATTTATTACTGAGACTTGAAGGTTTTTATAATTTATTTCCTATTTGCCTCTTTTTTTATTTCTAAGCATAGTATATAGTTTTCTTACTGAAAATGACTTTTTAAGTGCTATATGTTTATATATAAACTTTTTATGTATATTTTTGAATGTGTATACATGTGCTGTGTAGTGATAATTTTTAGTTAGTGTACGAGGTATGTTGTTTTTACACCTGTTTTATCTTGTGCTGTAGTACAAGTACAAATACTCCATCATAAATAATAAAGTTTTTTCACAACTGCCTATATATGAAAGCAATTGGAGCAATTTGTGAAGAGGATTTTTTTGTTTTGTTTTTCGAGTTCTTTATGTTGCACAAGAAAAGGTAGTATTTTGTCTATTTAAAGATTGCATAGGAAAGAAGTGTGTAACATAATTTCTTTTTAAAAAAACTGAAATATTCATTAAAAACTCAAAAACCTGATATTACAAATATTCAGGTTGGAAATTGAAATATACCACTTTTATTCTTTAGGTTCTTCTAACACCTTCATACATCTAAGTATTTATCTAATTTTTTTTGTCAGTATTATAAAAATTAGGGCATGTTGTGTTGATGTAAATATGATTTATAAGTTTATAAATGTGTGCTTTATTCTAATAGTGCTTAGTTGCAAAACATTTGCTTGAAAAGCAACTTTAAACTTGTGATGAATTCAACTTACTTATTACACAAGATAGTTATTACTGAATTTAATAAATTCTTCTATTAAAGTTTAAGAATGATTTGTATAAGTGTTACAAAATCAAATCCTGATAAATCTGCCAAAAATTGATCAAAACAATGTAACCAACTGTGTGTTTTTGTTTGGGATATTGCTGGCCAGTTTTATTGGGTAAGAAGGCCAGTTTGAACATATTCAACATTTATCATTTTCTATTTAGATTAGGAGAAATAAAAAAATGAAATGACTTCTAGGTAGAAGGATTGTTATGATAGATAGATACAAAATACAAGAATTATAGACACTGAACAAAGGGGAAATAAATGTCCTACCCCGTAAAAAGGGAGATAAATCTAATCATAACTTTCAATCTGCTCTAAAAGCCTTGTGATTATAGATCTGTTTTACATTGTCATATTTGTGATAAAATCACAAAGGACATAATTGGTGCAATAGAGAAGTTTTTCAGTGAAGTGAGAAAAGAAAATCCAAGATTTTCACCATAAATAAGTAAACTGACGTCCTGTCAGGTGGTGTGTAGGTAATGTAAAACAGATATATTAACGAGTGAAACTTGTGTGTGTATATATATATATATGTATGAAATATTGAACTCGCAGTTTTGCTCTACGTTTGTTTTCAATCTGTATATCTCTTTATGCTTTGAAATTGACCTTCTTATTTCGAGATATCTGTACAGCAAACTTGCGAGTTAAAGATTGGATGGGCTTGATTCTATTTTATGAAATATATGTAATATATGATATAGTTATCAAATTTTATAAATTCTAAGTGACTTCATATGTTTTGTTCACTTGAATTTGCTATTTTAAGGGGTCATTACAAAAGTTTTATGTAAGAATTTTGGGCACTCTGGGAGGAAATTTTCTGTCCTTGTTTCATATTTATCGATTGCCAGTGCTTAATTCAGATCAGTGTGACAAACAGGGTAATGCAATACATATTAATGTCGCTTATTGAAAGTAAACGATGAGTGTGGTCCAGTAGTTTATATAATGGATGAAATAACATAAAACCTTTCAAGTTCACATACAAAGACTTGAAGGATTTTCCAATTTTTTAGATGAACAAAATGTATGATCATTTTTGAAATGACCTCTTATAAAGTTGAAAAAAACTGCTGTGTACTTTGCTGAAGTGAATTGAATGGGAAGAAAGTTGTGTGTGTTGTGAAGTTAAAAAAAAGAGAAAAAAAAAGATGCAGGGATATTAAAGGAGTTATATATATATATTTTTTGAATTGTCAAATGAAGTTAATTTCTTAAACAATATATAGGGCATTTTTAAAAATTTCATGTTTTTCATTATTAAACAAAAAGAAATTCATGTTTATATGTAAAAAGACATTTTTACTGTTTGGTAGATGAATGGTTTATATTTTGGATGTGATATTTGCCAAGCAGTGATAATGTATATAATGTGTTGTTCCATTTCAATATGATCTCATACATTTTCATCATTTTAAAATGTGGCAATACTATGTCATGTGACTAATAACTGTGTCAGCTAACTTGTCTAATAATATCTACTGTTCAAATTTCTATTGGTATGAACACTTGCTTCTCAGTTCTATTTAGTTGAGAATTTGAAATTTTGATGAAATTCACAAGCTTAATTGAAATTATTTTTGTAGGAAATGAATGTATTTCAAACTTAATTAAATGTGAAAAGATGATTTTTGAAGAATGAAAAAAATTAAATCAAGGGGACTTTTCATAGTATGAAATCTGAAAAAAGGAATTTCTTTCGGGGGAATCAAGGAATTTTAAAAAGCTGTTGTTTAATTTGGATATCTGAAATGTAACATGCACAATCTACACAAATATTACCAAAAAGGGCATAAAAATGAAACTGAGATGATTATTTTTTGCACCATTGATGAGTTTGCACAAACGTGAAATTTGATTGATGTGTAGCAATGATTGGATAATCTAATAAAATATGTTTTAGCTCCTAGATCACACATGTTTGAAAAAAAAAATTCAGTTGTTGTGTTAACTAAATGTGTTAATGATCAGATCAAGTTAAGTCTTGTACATTGTTATTGCCATAAGAAAAATAAAACTTGGAAAAATCCATTTTGTTTGTTGTTTTTATTTACTTTTGTACCAGTCAGTGCAACCATCAGAGACATCAAGTACAATACAAATCTGAAAACGTGACGAGCGAAAACATATACTTAGTTGATACTAAGCATCAGTGGTCGCTAACATTGAAACATATTACAAAGGATTTTAAAAAAGCTATATGACACACCACTCAAGTTCTTACAAAAAGCTATATGACACACCACTTAAGTTCTTACAAAAAGTTATATGACATACCACTTAAGTTCTTACAAAAAGCTGTATGACACACCACATAAGTTCTAACAAAACGCTATATGACATACCACTCAAGTTCTTACAAAAAGCTATATGACACACCACTCAAGTTCTTACAAAAAGCTATATGACATACCACTTAAGTTCTTACAAAAAGCTATATGACACACCACTTAAGTTCTTACAAAACGCTATATGACACACCACTTAAGTTCTTACAAAACGCTATATGACACACCACTCAAGTTCTTACAAAAATGTAAAGACGTACCATCAAAGTTCTGACAAAAAGCTATATGACACACCACTTAAGTTCTTACAAAACGCTTTATGACACACCACTTAAGTTCTTACAAAAAGCTATATGACATACCACTTAAGTTCTTACAAAAAGCTATATGACATACCATATTCTAACAAGTTCTTACAAAGAGGAACTTTATAATAATAATGAATCAGTGGTCTGCATTTTTTAACCTTTGAGTCGTAGTCGAGAAAACGTGAATCTCTCTGCAAAGGAAATTCAGAGGCAGGGTGAATATATCTATTATCATTTATATATATATTTATATATCCCCTTCTTTATTAATGT